GGGGTGAAATAAACAATATGTTCGCAATTTACCAAGGACCAACAAGAAGATTGTAACAAAAGGTAGAAATGAATTATCTTTCTTTTAATCAACCTTTTTGAACATGCCGACGTGCGTGATGACATTTGTTACGAGACGCGTAAGTGTTCCGTGTTCTATTTTGTGATAAGGCACGCTAAAATTCAAAATGTAATTCTTTTTCTGGCATAATGTTTATCTACTTTGAAAGTTTTATTTGTAATTCACACATTGTTACAGAATTAAATTTATATTATATGCATTGTTGGATGTATATAAATGCACACGTTTTATATGAGCTATAAAGAGAAATTGGTACGCACGCACGCACTGGGATAATAAAATAATCAGTTTAGCTAGTTATAATTGATAAGGCATAGAAAAATATACAACGCACCTGCATTATGTTTTAGCTATAAAAAACGCATCTGTGGTGTAACTGGTTGTAAAATGTCTTAAAGTGCAATGTTTATTTAGGAATGCAAACATTTGCTAGTTGTGATACAAGTCTTGACCGCCCCATCCCCTGCCCCTGCACCCCCCAACCTTCTCCCACTTTCAATTCATTCTAACGAAATTTACATCAAACTTCAATTTACAGGTAAGTCTTGTTTAATCTGTCAATTTTAAACCACTCTATTAGCATGCCAAGGACGTGTAAGCTGTAGACTGAAACATAACTTAAACGAATCAAATTTATGTTTAATTCATGACAAGGTTCACGGGTTTGATTTTTACAACCGCGGTGAAATAGTTACTACATCCTGCTTTTCGTATGATACGTAATTTCCTCAAGTGTTGATAATTTGTCAAGATGGATAATAAGTGTCCTATTTGTGTATCCATCTGTCATTTCCCGCCAAAGGCAATTTTATCGTCTGCGTTAACAAGAAAATGAAGAATTGCTTTCATTTCAGCTGTCTGTCATTGGCGTCCGCGCCGAAGCGCGGCGCTCTTATGGAATGAGATCAGATTTTGTGAAAGGGCGACAGCAACTTCTCGAGCCTTTTAGTCGGTCATAATAAAAGCCGAAAATTCCGATCGGTATGAGGGTGCTTGATTATTAAATAAGAATGAAATGCCGCGATATGTTACAATGAATTTTCGCAATGCAAACATTTACAAATGAAATAACCTTTTCCGTCAATAAATCGCGCTCTTCGGGGTTTTTTATTTATCATTTTGTAGTACACAGTCGGTTATCATGTCATGGTATGTTATTGTTGTACATGTATCCTAGAATGATCAGTTGATGACCTAAATATTCCAAAAACCTATTTATAGATATATCTTTTTATCACTCCTATCGGTAAATGCCGGTCTCTCCCGGTCTATTTTGACCAGGATTTACTAGTGACCGGCGAATAGTACCACACGTTTATTGTCCGGTCTCTCCCGGTTTTGGAGTAGATGTTTGATATCGTTACAATTAGAAAAAAAAACAACAATAGCATGTTTCATTTTATCTATATGAGATAAAAACAATAAATATGTACACGGATTTATATGTAATATAAATCCGTGATATGTACAATAATTGAGAAAAAGGTACATTTTTTATGGTATTAAATGACATTATCAACTTTGAAACATTTTATTTAATTATTCAATTTGTTATCCGTGTTTAGTAAAGATGCCGAGGAATTATTCAAAGTTACAAATTAGATTTTATGAATTATTCAATTGATCGATAATTTAAAAAATGATAAAGAAAAATACAATGTACATGTACATGGTTTAAGAATAAACAATATTATATATTGAAAGATAAACCATAATTTACTGACTTTTTCCAGTTAAGCTTTGACTTATAATCGTCGGTCAATATGACAATTGAATTCTTAAAATTTATTTTACAATTTTAATAAAAAAGAGTAGTAAAAACTCAGTATTAAAATAGCACATAAAACACAAAAAAGAATAAAAGAAAACAATATTCATAAAATTTGTATTTTTTTTAAAATTAAAATTAATAGATATTACAATTATTGTATAATAAACAATTATGCTCAACATGATCAACATGGTAATATAACCAGTGTCATATTTCTACTAACTTAAAGTGTGAACAGATACCTTAAGGGGGTCTTCGCTAATAGCGATAACATGTACATAATAAGGGACAAATGTGTGGTACGTGTTGATCATGCGTTACACATATGGATTATAAATGATTGCATACATGTATATCCGTTGCTATTAATAACCACGATCATAAAGAAATAACAAGTAATATTCTAATCTCTAGCATGCCAATCAAAGTTCATAATGAACAATGTCTTTCGTCCGCTCATTCATAAGTGGTATACATTTCTGGTAGTTTATAAGAATATCTTGTCATCATATGTGTACTAGTTCATCTTCACTTGCTGCATTTCTTGCTTGGACGCCCTTTGATGCTTTGCATCAATGCTTTTCTTGTATCTAATGTTATTATTAACCATGTTTTCGCGAAAGTATATTTTTTATAGTGTCAGTTTTGTTTGCATATAAATTTTAGACATAAATTTTAGACTATCATTTGCATAAGCCAATGTTCGTTGCTATAAATAGCAGAAACAAAAAGCTTAAGCGGGACTATAATAATAAAGATACCCTTTTGGAAATTTGCTGTTGTGATTCAAGTTTTGTTTGCATGTCTCTTGCCTATGAAATAGCGACAATTTTCATCACGTGTTACCCTTTTCAACGCAGTTATTCTTCTTTATTATGTGAAGAACTTGTATTAGCTGACTAATGCACTTTCTCCGAAGTAAATAATTGCGTTTCGTGCACGACTACCTTTCTAAGATGTCGTCTGCTTTATGACGCAAATGACATTGATTGTTCAGAAAGTACATCTAGTGAGTCTCAGGAATTCTTATGCTCTCCACGTTGATATTTAGAACGAACAGGCAGCTCTTACACTTATGTCAGTTTCAAACCGAGCCCTGCATCATTTTCAGATTTGTTGTTTTGAGCGTTCGTTGGGGATTCCGTTTATTCTTAATTTAATATTCACTAGGCTTACAATTTTAAAAAAGAGATCTTATAAAGAGAAAAATAATTATAAAACCACCGTAGAATTTAACGTTTATTGGAGATAATAATAGGTGAAAATAAAGGTTTGACTATGCTTCTGAAGAAAAACACCACTGTTACATGTTATAATTATGTTTTTTCTTTTTCTTGGAAAATGCACTTTTCGCGGTACTATTTATATATAAATATGTGAATTATTGGAACGGTTTTGCTTCTATCTATGTACTATAAGCGTTATCTTAAATTGAATCGGCCGCGTTATGATCGGAGCAATCGACCACTTCACGCCGCTGCACTCGTCATATGTATTCTTGGGCGGTTGCTATTTACAATGGGATCTTCAAGTTTGTTGACAAAATTAGTCACTTAGCGTATTGGATATAGTTTTGTGTTTAATGGTATTAAAGATCTTGGCACATGCAGTATTTGGTAAACCATGAGGACATCAAATCGTCGCTGGAAGATGTCACAATATAGGAAAACAGTCCACGGAAATAGTATCTACAAGTGTTGTCTCCGCCCACATATAACCGCAAGAAGTCCTCTTTACTTGAAAAATCGTTTGTGAACTTAAGTTTCGCATTCCTTGAAATTAAATTGTCATAGTTTATTAGTCATAGCGGTAAATAATGTATGGACTTATAATAATGTTCAACATTTCCTTCACTACAGCTTTAAATATAGGTTTTCTATGAAATTTTATAAAATAATTTTTACAGATTTACTTTTATAAAGAGTTGTTTTGTTCATTATACTTTCAGATCAGAACGAGCTATAGATAATAATTACGTTTATCAATAAGCCAAAAATAGCAGTTAAATTGCTTATTGGGGATTTTTGTTTACACTTTTCAATAATTTTACGAGTCTGTATGAAAAAAAAGAAGAAAAAATAGAAAATTGATATTTAATCCCCTCCTTTCAATGCAAAAGACTATTGAAATATTTGAATTTTCAAAAGTACGATCGCAGTTCAATTAAATAGTAAACTATTAAAGATATTTACTCATCAAAAATATGTTGCCCCCTGCTTTTCAATCTTTTAAATAACGTGGTAACTTGAATTTAAAATTACCATTAAATCTATTTTAAAAAAGCCTTGAATCATTGTGACACATTTTTATGACCGCGACGTGTCTTTATTTTTAATAGTAAACATTATTTTAATGTATTTTTGTATTTTATACAATGTTTAATATTAGATCTATTATGATATTTTATATAATTGGCAGGCTTAAAGCTCGTGTAAAGGGTTTAATGTTATATATTTATCATTCTTATTCTTTTTTATCTTTATTTAAGCACACTGTACGCAATAATTACCTACTGCGTGAAAAATGTGTAATTTTAACCCTCTGAAAAAGCTATGCATACGTTGTGCGTTATTTTAAAGAAGTATAATAAATTACAAATAAAAACATGTATTATTGAATCACCCAAATGTTCGTACGTTTATGCTTACTCAACGCAGCGTGGTAAATATTAAAGTGGTTTTATATATTATACCAGTGGGTGTTAAAAATAGAAATTTTATTTGTTCAAATATATTTACATGGGGTCTTGATTGATCTTTATCGGCGCTGCACTATTTATTTAAACTTCCCATTCAGTATGAACAGAGTAATTTATTACTGCTATTAAATTGTTCATATCAGCCTGGTATTATTAGATAAGCTATATTTTTAGGCTCAAAAATGACATGTCAGTTCCTATTTTAAAACAGCTGTAAAATATATTACTTATATTTTATTAAAGAACAACATTGTTTTCACTCTTGGTTTGACACTCCTTTTAAAAGTAGAAATATGCGGTGTGTATGTAGAAAAAAAACGATAAAGCGAGCGTCTGAATGCAATGACATACTTGTCATTGTTGGACGTGAATGGCCCGAATCCATATTTATCTGGCGGTAATCAAATCGTGACGTCACGAAGTACTTGGCAAGCTGACAAGAGGCGGATTTCGTCGTCTGCTCAAGTTATTCCTAGTGCATGTTGGCATTCGAGTGTTCATCCAATATAGCTCAGTTGTATTTTCGCGATCAGTGAGAAACGCACGTTTGGGATTTTAGCGGGAATCGAATGACTGCACAAGAAATTATTTAGAGGAAATTATGCACTTGAACAAGTGTTAACTGTTAAAATATGTGATTGATCGAAGATCATTAAGACTGAAAATTAGACCGATATTTTGGATTGTGTATATTTATTTGGGTTGTCTTATAATCGATTTTATGAAAACATTAAGTAAGAAGATACATTGGTAGAAAATGTCGATGACACATCGGTCGCAGAGACAGCAATGTTATTTATGTGACTTGCCCCGTATGCCATGGGCCATGGTGCAGGATTTTTCAGAGCCCGTGTGCAGGGGATGTGTTAATTATGAAGGTGCCGACAGGATCGAAATGGTTTTAGATCTTGCCAGACAAATGAAAAGGGCCACGGGATTTCAAGATTCCCGTGGTCCCATTAAACCCGGGCACCATGGACCTATGCCTCCGCATCCTAGAAACCCACATGACCATCCAGGGACCATGGAACCGCCAAGAAATCATCCGGGTTCAGTGCATGGAGAAAGGTTTGAAAGATCTCGTATGGTTCCGGAATTTAATGGAATGCCACAAAGTATGATGCAGAATGGTGGACCTATTTCAAACCACATTGGTCGGGACGACCCGAAATCAGACATGCATAGATCTGCGCACAACGTACCGGTGTCGCGTAGTGTTGGCTATCCACCCGGGTACCATCCATCAGTACATGGACCTTTAATGAACGGACCACCACCGGGTCACAGTATTACTCAAGGCCGGCCGGTAAATCCGGCCGTGAAAGACGACGAAGACAGTTCGAATCCCAGTGGGGACGAACTTTGGAAACGTAGATCTCCTGACGATAAAAGACCACCAAATGTTCGTGAAAACTTGTCAATTCTTGCGACAATTGTTCCATTTGAAACAAGATATAAAAAGGATCATACTGTGTGTGGTCGTGTTATAGGATTTGATGTACAATCTAAAGCAGGGAATGAGTATGAATTAAAAGTGTTTACGGAATACCCGATGGGCTCAGGTAATGTCTTTCCTAATATAGCTGCAGTTTCTAAACAAATGTCAAACGATGCTTCTAAAGACCCGTCTCGTAACGCGCCCTCTCCCGGATTCAAATATCTGGAATATGAAATGAAACACGGGTCAGGTGATTGGAGATCTCTGTCTGAACTTTTAACAGAAAATGTTCGAAACTTTAAGGAACCATTAAAAAAGGAACTGTTACCAACCTTGTATATAAACACTAGTTTACCACCTGTACCCAGTGCAAGTATGTATCGAATCCCCATGGGTCGCGGAGGTCCTGCACCAAGAGCTTATCCGGACTCGGCGGGAAGAAAGCGGAAAGGAACGCCTGATCCGGAAACGGAACAAAATGAACAAAATAAGAGACAATGGTATCCGAATCATTCCGAAGCTATGAAAATGAGCGGTTACCCTCAAAATAATGCTTCACCAATGGGAAATCATGCCCCCAGTCCTCCTAATAGCGGCTCGGTGCCTGGACCCTCGGGACAAAATGGACCATCACCTATGGCGGCATTAATGAATGTCACAGACAATTTATCGGGCTCATCCCCGCCCGGTCGGGAAATGAGCGCGAGGTTGCCAATTAATGGTCGTCACAACATTCATACACCATCATCAAATTTTGCACGAGCACCCCGTTCAGTAAGTGAGCCTTGTATGGGCGGATCATTATCTGAAGGAGGTACCAGCGCGGAATCTTTAAAATGTACCATTTGTCAAGAGAGACTAGAAGACACGCACTTTGTTCAGTGTCCGTCTGTTGGCGATCACAAATTTTGTTTCCCTTGCTCTAGAAACAGTATTAAAATGCAAGGGGCCGGGACTGAAGTGTATTGCCCTAGTGGTAAAAAGTGTCCCCTGGTAGGGTCAAGCGTTCCGTGGGCATTTATGCAAGGTGAAATCGCGACCATATTAGGGGAGGATTATAACACAAAAGAGCCAAAGATTAAAAAAGAACGTGATTCGTGACTTGAATATATATGGAAATTATATGAACATGTGTGCTAACATTTTGGATACTTTAACATCGTTGCGGTAGACTTCTGAAAAAATTGTTGAAAACTTGAGAGAAAAAAAAAATACAAATTTGACAAAGCTATTAAGAATCTTTTAATGTTATAATGTGTTGGTGCATGTAAATCTTTATTTTAAAAGGTACAGTTGGGCATGTCCTTAAAACGTTTAGCGAGAGATGTACATGTTAAAAGATACCGGTTTATTCTTCATTCTTACAAAACTTCCGACATCTCTTGGTTTATATCGACTGACGCTATTTTCATAGCGTTTCTTGGAGCTAATTAACGACACGCATGCAGAATGACACACATTTCTTTTTTTCCACGTAAGATCTAGGTCATGCTTAGAAGTATATGTGATATTCCATTTATCTTAATCATGTTTAATCAAGAAAATGTTGATATTTTCTTACGATTCCTAGCACCAGCATTATTTTTTTCTAGCTAAATGATACATTTACAGCTCTACAAAAGACGGTAATGTGTGGCTTGAAACATTGCAGTATCGATCGGGGTTTCTCGTGTTTCAATTAATATAGGAACTTTAGTAAATTAAGAAGAAACCAGGCTAAATATATGACCATATATGTATGTAGTACTGTTTTATGTTAAATTAACCGCTTTAATGGAAAAAATTGACCGTATGCATAAAATCAGAGAGAGAAAAGAAAGTAATGAATGATTTACGTCGCCTAAAGATTTATTGTTGATTTCTATATTTTGATATTTTTTGTGGCCATTTTAACTTAACGTGAACTGCCACAATGCGTTTATTTAAGAAAACAAACGTTCTCTTGTTTTTGTATCGTTTTAATACATTCGGCCGGAAAATCGCTTTTAATTTATATATTAAGACTAATTTCCACTCACTATTTTGTTTATTTATGGTAATACATGTAAAACAATATTTGAAATTTTCGCAATACATGTACTTTAATGTCAGTGAGTTTATAGCGATTTTATATACCAATTTTTTTTCTACCAAACTAAAGTATACAGTTTAATAATTTTAAAATTTTAACTCGTGTTAATAATAACTATTGTCTGAATTGTTTTGATTTATCATTATATAATGTGCTATTGTTATGATACTGTTTTTTTTTAGCTTTTTGTTGATGATCGTATCTTACTGGAAGCTTATGTCTGTTACAATTTATTACTGTTTTTTTTTTTTTCTTTTAAAAATGTAAATAAATATGTTAAAAACACTGTTTTCGTCATTATTTTGTTTATCAGCTAGTTTTTAATGTATTTTATTACCAAAGGTATCAATTAATTCTCCTGTATTAGAATTAAGTACAATTTTCTTTATTTGCGATTGAACTACATGTACTATACTCTTAACGTGCTAAATATCTTAAATGGACTTGACCATCTTTCAATCTGGACGAGACCATTGATGATTTGTTAGGGAGAAATACAAAAATGAGTACGATCAGTGTAGACAGTGATCAGACGATTCAAATGCGCTTGCAAATGGTTCATTGGTAGATCCGGTTGCCGCTAAAAGGTTAAAATATCAATAACAATAACAACATCAAAATTAAAAACTATATGGCTATAAAAATGTCGCTTCTGTAATAGTTTTAGTTATTGATATAAAAGGATATAAAATATGCATAGCAAATTCACAGCGTACGTTTATATGCTGATACCTAAATTAAACCAGAGAACTTGGACGATAGTTTAAGGGTACAGAAAAATTGGGTCCAAGGACTGACCTTTTTATTCGGCCATATATCATGTTAAGGCGCCTATATTATAACTAGTAACGTTGCTATTTACTTCAAAATATCGCGTGTGACAATTTAATCCGCAGTAAACACAGGGTAACTGAGTCAAAATGAATTATTTCTTCACGCTCCGTGCTCAAAATGTCTTTATTTTTCTCCCAATTTCAAAACTTTTAACATTTAATTTCACCACAATATTTTATTTTCATCACGTTCGAATAACGCAATTTCTGTATTATAACTCTTGAGATGAAGTTTATGTTAATGAATGTTTGCTTCTCTGATATGTGGACCGAATGTTTAATTCGGCAGAATAGAAATCAGTCACGTTCCGTTTAAACAGAGTGTGTCATATCTAAAGCCTGTGCCAATATTGGTCTCAAGTATTAGACACCCGGTCACGTAACGGCGTGTGCCGTATCTTGATTAAAGCTAATAATGTGTGTGACTTTGGATTTTCTGCACCCCTTTTAAAAACGTCTTTCGGTACTTTATAACATGCGATATCTGAAGGGGGTATAAATCACTCGAAATGCACGCCCGAGCCGTCCCTACCTCTTGTACTATATTATTTATTCAGAGTATGATTGAGTAATGTAAATGTAAGCGATTCTTCTACTAAACTACTCAACCAAATAAGTGTGATTCTCGGGTAGGTTCAAATTTGAATAGCTTATGAAATGAATATAAGAAAAATGCACTTTATCTGTACTTTTCGTATACGCACTTTAACGTATTTAAAATGTTTGATATTGCAATAATATACCCCACACCGCTTTGTAAGGCGGTGTTAAGGTGGTGAGGATTTAAATCAGTACAGAAAATTTCTGAATGTTTTAAGTGTTATTGACATATTTGTTATGGCATAACTTACTTTGGGTATATAACGAAAATATTTCATAATCAGCGAGTTTATTGATACGCATTTTTAGGGCACTGAAATATTTACGGAAATCAGGTCAGCGGATCGATTCAACTATTATCAAAGAAGATTGACTTTTTCAACATCTATGCTTATTGCTTAACGCTATTTCGGCCTACTTAATTATAGTTAAAAATATTTCACAAAGTGAGAGAAAGAAAGAAATACGTCTTAATGTGTATTTTTGCAAAAGTGAAAATATAATGTATATTATACTTCAACATTAATTTACACATTTAGTGTATTTGCAGTTATTCAAAATATACCATCAAACTACTATATAGTACAATGTATTTAAAATAGACATAATTTGAGAGTACATGTTCGTGATAATAAATCATCAGTCATGGTTACTTATAGTATATGACCTTAGATAAATAAGATTAGTACCTATTAAGTACTAACTAAACAAGAAATACTTAAGTACTATGCAATGTTTGCTTTTGGTTGATCCGCCGCTGTTTAGGACTAAGTAAGTGAATAGTTCGGCAGTAATGCACCGTCACGCGATGAAAATCCGTTGCACTCTTGTATGAAAACGTAATAATAATTCTCTTACCCCTATAGGCAAGTTCTCTTGTTTTAAATCAGAAGATTATATCATTTTTCCACTCTGTCATCAAAAGAGGGCCTCTTCCTTCCTGTGATCATTGTCGTTTTGTGTTGGTTTTTTTGGTCGCATTGGGGAAAAGAAAGGAAGAAAATTGTAATATCGTTTCTATAAATGTAAGTGGAATCACTATAAGCTGTATGGAATGACTTATTACTCTTTCTTTGCGAGGCAATGCTATCGAATAAAACGTCTGCTTTTGCAATATGTTCTTGCAGACGTTTCTCGGTGTAAGCTATGAGCTGATATCCGTTTGCATTTCCCATATAGACAGTAATTATCATATTTACCTGTTGTAAATGCTTTGTTTAAATACATTGATAATTCAGTGTGAAAGAGGCGTGATTATCATAGTCACTGTTATTTACCATAAATCACGTCAAGAGATCTGGAACTTCCAGCGAATTATAACAAAATATTTATATTATTGGACATTTGTTGACCTAAAAACACGTGCATTACTTAATTTTAGGACAAACTTTTCGCATTTCAAGCACCCGTTCAAAAGTCTTATTAAATATCTAATATTATTTCTAACATATACAATATAAATATATTCTGCAATGATAGCACACTTTCACTTTGATTTTGACTTACGTATTGCATATTTCAAGGGTCACGGAATAGTATACATTAAAGTGGGTCACAGTTTGAACCACAGACTGCACGGATTTACAGGTCACCCGAGTCCACAACATTTGGAATATATACGATCCTGTCATTCCTGGACCGGAATTTTTATATGTAAACACATAATAAGAATAGCTGTGGTTTGTGTGAACGGTGTCCTTTTCCGGCATTTTGTTCAGATGCCCTTGTCATAGTTATCAATCTTGCATACGTAAACTGAAGGAGGTATGCCGGACGCCTGTGGGCACAACAAAAGCGACTAATTGATGGTCATTTAATGCACTTTGTCTTTTTATTTCTGACATGACTTTGATTGCCATATTTTATACAGACCAGTGATTTATTATAGTATCAGTCTCAAAATGTAAATATTATGATTGTGTCAAATGCATGTAGGGCAGACCAAAAACGTCGCAGGTTTTGTCTTAATTGTTGGTTATTAACGTCCTTTTGCGTGGTTTCTTTGTTGCTTTGCATTGCGAAAAAAAATGCTGACTAAGCAAATTTGCACGTGTGACGTTCGAGTAGCGCTTTATTCGGATAGTAAATTTTTATCTGTTTTTTTTAATGTTTTTTTTCCAGGATCAATCGTTTCTTTTAGCACGTACCTTGAGATCTTAACTTACGTTCACAGCTTTCAATCATTTTGTTGCTGTTTTCCATCTTTCACTCTACTTCACGCAGCTCAGTGAAAATTTATGAGTTCGCATCAACCTTGGAATACTAAATTACCAATAATGCTATTTTAATCGGAAATCGATTTGTCATTGTTGTTTATACGGCGACATTATCATATTTCTGTTATATTTTGCTCGATCATTGCTAATATAAGAGGTGCTATAGATTTTTGCACTGCGTGGGGTGACCGGTTCTTTGGTATTGGAGACGAAACTATTTCAGAATATTTCCACAACGCTTTCTGTTCGAGATTGCTTAATTCCTAGACCCGTTTTACTCGCTGATAAACCGATTACGGAAAATAGGAGATAAACGATTTTGTATTATCATACCTTTGTTAAAGTCTCGTGCTGTGAAGTCAGGCAACCCGTCTTTTGATATCACTGTCTTTCCTAAATTGTAACTCGTCACGCGAGGGTCACGTACCCTGTTTATATATACCCGTATCTTATACAGGATTATGAGATATTGTGAATTTTAAACATTTTACTTTAGATTAGACTTGCACGATATTGCATACCTGCGTATTATTTGAGTATGTTACAAAAATAACATTTTGGCAGACGACAATTTGGAGATTACGCTGCACAAAATAGAGCCAACTGAAATGATATGACATTAAATTACTGCATTTTTAAATATAGGTCTTCAAAATAAGTTCAACCGAAAACCGAAATAGTTTACATTTAATTACCTATTTTGACAACTTATTGAAACTAAAGATTGCCGCATTTGTAGACGGTGGAGGGTAGGGGGGTATACCCGGCACGCGTCGACCAACATCGCCTACATGCCCATTTTTCTATGTATTTTTATTTGATTTTTTGTTTTGTTTTTAAAGAAGTTCATATCAATGGCATGAACCGTATGTTAACTCGCTTATAGCCATTGCTATGCTATTAAATATCATGATATTATATCTAATACAACAACAAACAAATAAAAATAATACACAATACCCGGATGCACACCGTATCTTAAACATCAATGATATTGTACAGCAATAATTGAGCCGTGTCATGACAAAACCAACGTAATGCGTTTGCGACCAGCATGGATCCAGACCAGCCTGCGCATCCGCGCAGACTGATCAGGATCCATGCTGTTCGCTCACAAACCCTATTACAAGTAGAGAAACTGATAGCGAACAGCATGGATCCTGATCAGACTGCGCGGATGCGCAGGCTGGTCTGGATCCATGCTGGTCGCAAACCCATTATGTTGGTTTTGTCATGACGCGGCTCAATTTTGCAAATTAACATACTGCACCTGGCTGCATGAAGAAATAGGTTTGAATTACTTTGTGTAACGTGTCAGTGTTGAAACATTTAAGCATTTATTCCAATTATTCAAGTTTTATTGTAAATATAAACGCAATGGTTCATGCTTAAATTACGGGGAATGATTTGAACTCATAAGGTGACCAGCCTGCTCAAATCACGTGTCAAGGTCTTAATGAATTCTTGACATGGACCGCAAACATTTATTATTGTAATAGCCGAAGAAATTATTCGGCTGTTAACTATAGATGTGTAAATTAGCAAGGCTTAAATAAGCTAGTTGTTGAAGGGGCATACAATACCACGCTACAATACCACGCATTGTATTAGAAAAAAAATACACATTTGTTTTTAGG